TTACATTTACAAAATATGTACATATGTATGTATATGTACATATTTTATTTTTTCAATTGGATTGTCATTGTATTGAAAATATTTGAGGTGAGAATACAAAAAAATAAATCAGAAGTATATCATTGAATGTACACGCGATCATTGTATGCACACGTTTTCCGAAAAATTCACGATTTTTTTGGGGCAAATGCAAGAATTGAAAATCAGAAGACATAAAGAGAATTCTAATTCTAACATCCATCCAGTCAACGTCTTTATAACACCGAAAATGGAACGGGACCTGAATGTAGGAGCTATATCAAAGCATGGACCTAATATCCCGTAATGACATATTGCAGCTACTATAATGTGGAATTTTGGTAGGAAGATTTGACACCAAGAGAAAATGCCGAACAAAGGGGAATACCATATATGGGGGCTATCTGGAAACTTGGACCAATATTGCTAAGGAGGTAATTTTTGCTAAGAGAAGCTCCCCAAAATGCCGAATATTGCGGGTACCGTTGGCCAAACCTCCGAAGTGGAGCATCATTGTATGGGGTCTATTCGGAAGTTAAATTTCATTTCATTCGGGAAAGTTTAGAGTCGTTTGAGTACAATGGGACTAATTGAAGTAAATCGATGTAGAGCAAACTTGATACACGCTATTCGGTAGGCCGCACTCTTCAAAATTTAATCTCAATCAGACACCCGATTGAAATATATATGAAAGCTGTGTCTGCATCTGCGCTAATTTCAACAACACGTAATAACGTCATTCAAGAGTCAATTTGATACGTAGTGCAAAATTTCGTGTCGAGCTATATCTAAATATGAACCGATTTCAACGTAACTTGCCAGAAATTAACGTACAAACTTTCGGTCTTTAGTGCACAATTAGCCTGAAACCGGAAGAAAATGTATATAGCAGCTATATACAAATTTGAACCGATTTTCACGAAACTTAACACATATAATTCTAGACTAAGTTCAGTACGCTATGACAAATTTCATGCAAATCGAAAAATATATAGGGGGTTTGGTGCATCATTTACATAAAATCGAACGAAACTATATATGGCAAGTATATCTAAATTTGAACCGATTTTCACGAAACTTAGTGCATCATTATTCTAGACTCAGTTCAGTACGCTATGACATTATTTAAATTTATTGCGTGTGTGCTATAGCTTCCAATGTAACGATCAAAATCGGTATATGGCGAAATATATCTCTTATCCAGAAAAATTGTTTATGCAAGTATAAAAAAAACCAGTAAGGAAAGTAGTAAAGTCGGACTGGCCGACTATATGATACCCTTCACCAATTTGGGTATATTCTACATATGTATCCTAACAGACGACGCGTTTTTGTTACATATCTACATCTGAACCGATTTCAGGGAAACTTGCCAGAGACTAATTTATATTACATCAGTACGTTGTGTCAATCGGCCTAGCTATGGATCTTTTCACGCAGCTTAGCAACATCATTTTAGGCTTAATTCAGTACCCTATACCAAAATTCGTGCAAATCGAAATATATATTGGAACTTTGGTGCAACAATTACATAAAATCGGACGAAAATATATATAAACATATTTTCACGAAATTTAGCACACGTCATTCTAGCCTTAATTTAGTACACTATGACAAATTTCGTGCAAATCTAATGATTTTCAGAGACTTGGTGCATCACCAATTACTTAAAATCGGATCAAATACATATGGGAGCTATATCTAAATCTGAACCGATTTTCACGAAACTTTGCACACATCATTCTAGACTTAATTCAATACTCTATGCCAAATTTCGGGCAAATCGAAAGATATGTAGGGTTTTTGGTGCACCAATTACATTAAATCGGATGAAAATACGTATGGTAGCTATATCTAAATCTGAGCAGATTGCCACTAAACTTTGCACACATCATTCTAGACTTAATTCAGTACGCTATGCCAAAATTCGTGCAAATCAAAAGATTTCCAAGGCCTTTAGTGGACTATTTACTTAAAATCGGGAGAAGCTATATATGGGAGCTATATCTAAATCTGAACCGATTTTCAGGAAATTTAGCACACATCGTTCTAGACTTAATTAAGTACGCTATGCCAAATTGCGTGCAAATCGATGGATATATAGGGACATTGGTACACCATTTACCTGAAATCGGACGAAAATATATATGGGAGCTATATCTAAATCTGAACCGATTTTCACGAAACTTAACACACATCATTCTAGACCTAATTCAGTAGGCTATACCAAATTTGGTGCAAAATCGGGCGAAACTATATATGGGAGCTATATCTAAATCTGAACCGATTTTCACGAAACTTAGCACACGTCATTCTAGACTTAGTTCAATACGATATGCCAGAATGATTTTCAGGGACTTTGGTGCACCATTTACCTAAAATCGGGCGAAACTATATATGGGAGCTATATCTAAATCTGAACCGATTTTCACGAAACTTGGCACACATCATTCTAGACCTAAATCAGTAGGATATACAAAATTTCGTGCAAATCGAAAGATATTTAGGGACTTTGGTACCCCATTTACCTAAAATCGGACGAAAATATATATGGGAGGTATATCTAAATCTGGACCGATTTTTCCCAATTTCAATAGGGTTCGTCCTTGGGCCAAAGAAATGAGCTGTGCCAAATTTCATCCAATTCGGATCATAAATGCGACCTGTACTTTGTTTACAATTTAACATGGACAGACGGACGGACATGCATAAATCGACTCAGAAAGTGATTCTATGCATATTCTCAAAAGGAACCATGGGTCTATCTCGATTATTTTTGCCTGTGACAAACATATGCACAAAGACATAATACCCTGTACCACAGTGTGGTGAAGGGTATAAAAAGCAAAACGAAAAACAAATCTGAAATACTGAAAATTATTTCTTAACAATATTGTTAAGGCAAGACAACGTTTGCCGGGCCCGCTAGTATATATATATATATATATATACTATATATGAGAGCTATATCAAAATATGTTCCTATTTCGAACCAGTAAGGAAAGTAGTAGTATGGTACCCTTCACCACTTTCAGTGTATTAAACAGATGCATCCTTATAGACCACGTATTTTCGAAGGACGAAATTAGATAATCTAAAATATGTGATTTTTATCTAAATGTGAACCGACTTAAATCAATATATAAACATATCATTCTGTAACCTATGCTAAATTTTTCATATGAACAGATATAGAGTCGTTTGTTTGCAATGTTTTAAAATTATGTAAAACAATTTAAAGCAAATCTCAATCGGACAACAATTGAGTGCCTATCGACCATATTTCGGGTCTTATTGACTTAAAATCGGACGAAAGTATATAAGAAGATATATATCTAAATCAGAACCGAATTAAACGAAACTTTCCACACGTTAGGTTATACTAATTTCAGTGCGTTATGCAAAACTTTGTGCCGAAGGCAGTCATTAAGTACAAAAGCAACTGCTTTAATGACACTTTTTTAAATTTGGTGAATTTTTTATAATAAACGTTTCTATGGTACAAAAAGTCCATTTAAAAAAAGTGTCTTAAAATCGGATTAGATTAAACTATATATGGGAGCTATATCTAAATCTAAACCGATTTTAACAAAACCTAACACACGTTAGCTTATAAATAATGCAGTATATTGCACAAAATGTTGTTGCAATCGGCCTAACTTTGAGACTTTGGTGCACTCTTTATTTAAATTCGAACGAAAATATATATGGGAGCTATATCTAAATCTGGACCGATTTTAACAAAATTTGATTCACGTTAACATTTCTCAAGCTTTCTTGGATCGTTTTAAGCGAAATATAATGGATTTAAAGCGTCGTCTCATAACTGTTCATGAGACATGGATCCACCACTATACTCCAGAGACAAACGAACAATCCAAGCAATGGACTGAAGCCGGAGAAAGTGCCCAAAAGAAGGCAAAAACAATTCAATGGACTGGTAAGGTTGTGGCATCGGTTTTTTGGAAAGGTATTTTATTGATTGACTATCTGCAAAAGGGTAAAAAAATAAATTCAGAGTACTATTGTAACCTTTTGGATCAATTAAATTTAAAAATTCTAGAAAAACTTCCTGGCTTACAACACAAAAAAGAATTTTTCATTAAGACAACGCACCAGCGCACAAGAGTGTTTTAACAATGGCTAAAATCAATGAATTAAAATATGAGTTGCTGATTTAGCTCCCAGTGACGTTTACTTGTTTCCAAATATAAAAAAATCCTTGCTCGGAAGCTTTTTACCTCAAATGAAGATGCAATTAAAGTTGTAAACCACTATTTTGAAGACCTTGACTCAGAAAGTGATATTATGCACAATTTTGTTGTCGTTATATAAAGGTATTCCCACACGATATAGTCAATATTCGAAATTGACCATACCGCTGACAAAGGACAACTATTTTCAGCTATATCAATTCCTTCGAATGATAACGTATTAAGCCATGTCCTTCTCCTGACATGAATAGATAGCCTTAGAATGTTACACTGATCAATATTTCGATGAGTTACCAATGGAATAACTTTATTAATATACCCTGCATACTGTGGTAGGGAGTTTAAGACAAATAAATAAACTCAATATGTTTTTATTTTAAACTTTGTGTTTGTTCACATTTATTTACATTTTATATAAAAGTGTTTTTTATCTTTATTAGAGATTTGTTATTCTATATATCCTGAAGAGTTAAATGTTTGGCTATCATCGTGTCGACATATGGCTCACAATGTGGGATAGTGACTTAGGAGTGATTAGCAGGGTTTATGAAAATAGAATACGTGTTACAATAAAGTACCATGAAATATAGGCGAAAGGAAATATATAGTAAAGAGGCGATAGAAAGAGAAGCGTGCGAATGAAATGGTATAGAATAGAATTGTAATGAAGCTAAAGAGGATTTTTGAAGTTGTGACGTATGTCCAAGGGGTGTGTGAATTTCGGTAAGACAAAATTCAGGTACTGCAGTCAATTCTAAAATTTTATCCAAAGATTTAATTTAAACAGTGCCGGGAGCAGGTTGTAGATTAACTGAGGCAACAGATTGAGCATGCCCAGCCAATGGAGCAACATGAACAGCACCACGTGTCTTGGCAACAAAGGTACCACTATGAGCTGGCACAACAGCAGGAGCAGCGACAACATGTGGAGCGGCAACAACAGCTGGGGCTGGAACAACAGCGGGAAGAGGGCCGGAAACAACTTGTACTGGTCCAGGACCGACAACAACCTGAGGGGGATGTGCCGCAACTGTAACAGCAGCATGAGGATGAGCACCAACTACTACAGTACCAGGAACTGGTCCACCGACAACAACTGGTCCCCATGGAATAACTGAGGAGTTGGCACCCAAAGCTAAAGCAAGCAAGACTACGGCAATGGCGAACTGAAAATAACGAAAGAAATGGAAAGTTACAATATAAATAACTATTTGTGAGTTTATACATTTTATTTCATCGACTATGTATGATGTTCAGGTGTATTGATAAAATACACATTTTAAACACAACTGTATATTCACAAAAATAGTGTCGCGATTAAAGCATTTGCCTTTCGCTTAATCTTTTTTATTCTATAAAACTATTCTTCTCTTCAATTTCTTCTCTTGAATTTTATTTAATTTTTCGTAGAAATCATAGCCACATTTCCTTTACAGTGATCCTTCTACGTCCAATACCAAACAGTTTTATCAACTTAATTTATATAATATCCTGATGGAGGATATAATAAATTTGTTCCGCCTGTAGTCACATTTTTTAATAGTTTTCAATATGTTTATCCTTCACATCAACATTTTATGTAATTTCGATTCATTGTTCACTTAATCCATTTTCTACTCAGCTCACCTTCATGTTTGCTATTTTGTTATTTGTAAAACGTTAGAAATAATTCTACTGACATTTCAGTTTAAACCCGACCTTTTATAGCAAACCAATTCCATTCCGAAGATATTAACTGTAAACATTTACATATTTCTTTTGTTCTATTTTCCATTATTTTAATTAACGAACATTCATCTCCCACTCATTCCCCCCTCAAGATAACATACCGGCAAATGCATTTCATTATGTCCAGTATTTATTGAAACAAACAATTCCAGAACTTATTTCAACCACTTCAATGTCAACCTACACCAACGTCAACATTAAACACCTGAGTTGTTTTTACTTCGATACATGTAAATGTAAACTGACCAAACAAAATTAGAATTGTGTGCAAACTCAACAAACCCGGAGAAATAAAATCTACATTGATAATAGCATTAAAGGCGTGGTTTTCTATGACGATCCTAAATGACTGAAATATGAAGCCAAACACACTAAAGTCTATGTCTTTTATCTAATTAGAGAGTAGTAAGTTGTTAAAAATGGTCAACCATGAGCGCTATTGTTTATATGAGAAGAATACAAAATTAATCGACTAACATACTAAAGAACAAATAAATTGGACGTATCAAATTTAATATACTCTTTATCATAGAGGTTACATTGATTTTGGAAGATGACTATTGGTGCTTATAATTGGTGGCTATTCCTAATTCATATTATATATACCCTGCACCATATTATGAATATTGTGTTAGCTGTATATAATGTTCGTTTCTTCGTTTGTAACACCTCGAAATAATGATTTCCTAGATAGTATATATATTCTACATAATGTCGTTCTAGAAGGTTACTACATTTGATGTGGAATTAATGAATCAAATCGGTTACACCATTCGGATTCTTCCATTATCATTAGGTACCCAATCTCCCTTTCAACAGTTGTATGATTATACCCTTAACCACACTGTGGTACATGGTATTATGTCTTTGTATAATACACTAGCTGGACCCGAGGCACTTCGCTGCCCCTGCCGAAGTTATCAACGTTAACTTCGTTATCAACGTTAAATTTCAATATACATACATATGCATTTTATGTATTTCAAAACATATCCTCATCGTTCCAAGATATATTCTCATCTGATCCTTAGTTGCATCCAATCTTAAAATACGCATATAGCAAATGTTCATACACATATTCTTTCAGATGTATGAATACTTTTGATGCTATTCCGCATCCATGTGTACTTTGTCTAACCTATATTACTTCCATGGGATCGCATAACGTACTGTAAACATTTAAGTAAAATCTGTTCAGTGATTTTAGGTCCACAAACAATATATTTTCTATACACATATATAAATCATGTTGTAAGGATGCGTATTTACACCCACGTTACTCAGAATTATTTCGAGGTATGATTACGTTCGACAATACAACTCCGCATCCACGCGGAATATTAGAACTTCATATAACCTATGTTATTCCTAGTGCATGTCATGGCGTTCTGTGAAAATCTCAGGAGAATCTTTTCATGCTTTCTATTTCCAATATGCTGATTTTAAAAATGCAGTAGAATGTAAATTTTCCGCTGGTCGCACCATGTTCATTTTTAGATGATGACGTGTATTTGCATCCACGTTAATCTGACAAATTTTTAAGCCGTTATCTATTTACAGGTTTTTGAGGTACCACTACTATTGATACTTTAATGCGCATCCACAGGGGATTTTTGAAGTTTGTCTAGCCACTGTAGCCAATGTTACCCACGGGCAACAAAATGTTTTAGAGATTAAATTGAATATGCAGCTAGTAGATGGATATTTTTGGATTTCATATGTCAAGACCTGATTATGAACGACACATATCAAAACAAAAATCTAAAATATTCAAATTTTTGGTAATGTTGTGAGTTTTACAATATAGAGACCAGTAAGGAAAGTAGTAAAGTCGGACTGGGCCGACTATATGTTACCCTTCATCAATTTGGGTATATTCTACATATGTATCCTAACAGACGTTCGAAGGAACATTGACGTGAAATTGAACGAACTTAAAAGTGTCACCTTTATCTACATGTAAAACGAATAACATAAATCATTACACATGCCTATGCTAAATTTTGAAAATCGATTTAAAGCAAACTTGAGACACACTATTTGATATGCTGCACTGTTTCAAATTTAATCTAAATCAATAAGCACGAATAGGTCGAAATTATATGTGGAAGCTATGCTATGTCTAAATCTGAACCGATTTGAAGGAAACTTGCCAAACATAATTTTATATTAACTTAAGTACGCTGTATCAATCGACCTCGCTATGGATCTTTAGTGCACCATTTACTGAAAATCGGACGAAAATATACATAGGAGGTATTGTAACTTAGCTCACATCGTTCCAGACTTAATTTAGTACACTATACGAAAAATCGTGTAAATCGAGAAATATATCGGGGCTTTGATGCTCCATTAACATAAAATCGGACAAAAATATATATGGGAGCTATATCTAAATCTGAACCGATTTGCACGAAACTTAGCATACATCAATTTTGACTTAATTCAGTACGCTGTAACAAATTTCGTGCAAATCGAAATATATAGAGCGAATTTGGTGCACCTTTTACATTAAATCGGACGAAAATATATATGGGAGCTGTATCTAAATCTGAACCCATATTCACGAAACTTAGCACGCATCATTCTAGACTTAATTCAGTGCGCTGTACAAAATCGAAAGATATATAGGGACTTTGCTGCACCCTATACATTAAATCGGAGGAAAATAGATATGGGTGCTATATCTAAATCTGAACCTTTTTCACCAATTTCAATAGGGCTCGTGCTTGGGCCAAATGAATGAGCTGTACCAAATTTCATCCAAATTGGATTATAAATGCGGACATGCATAAATCGCTTCGTACTCGAATTGTACAAATTCTGTCACCAGTATTACTTTTTTGATTCTTATATCTGCCTTTATCATTTTGATAAAAATCAATTGCGAACAGCTTAGATTTAGATATAGCTCCCAAATATATTTTCTTAAAATGCGCTATAGTGCTGCATACCGATTGACATATGTAAATTTTCCTTAATATCGATCCAGACTTTCATACACCTCACATACTGAAAAATATTCCGGCTTTCTTTAATAAAGACTTTCGAAATCGATTTGCTTCTATGACGATTTAAGCATGTCCGTTGAGCGCGTTTTCAAACGAATTCGCTGATATTTGATACATTGGGTTCTTATTGGGACCAAATATCTCCTCTAAAAATTATAAATAACGTTGCATTTTTTCCGGTAGCCCTCATATAACGGTATCCCTAAATTGTCCGTATTTTGGGGGTTTTTAACGCATTTTTCGACCGAATTCGCTGAAATTTGGTACTTTAAGTTCTTATTGGAAATTTCTCCACTAAAAATTATAAATATAGGTCATTTTTTATTTTTCTGGTAGACCCCATATAACGGTCCCCCCAATTTTTGGTATTTTTGGGTTCTTAAGTGCGTTTTTCAACCGAATTCGATGAAATTTAATACATTAGGTTCTTATTGTGGTACCAAATCTTTCCACCAAAAATTATAAATATAGGTCCAGTTTTTCTTGTAGCCCCCATATAATGGTACCCAAATTTTCGGCATTTTGAGTTTCTTGAGCGCGTTTTTCAACCGAATTCGTGGTAAATTGGTATTTGTTACCATATACGACTACAAAGTATATGGTAACAAATATCCCTTTTAGGGGTATATATTTAATATAACACAATTTTTTAAACCCTCCACCATAGTATGTGGATTAGTATATAACTTTGCAATCTAAATTGCAGTAGTTTGAGTGTTGTATACTCTTCCATGCGTTAATAGTAACAGTCCACGCTTTAGGGGTTTCAGATTTTACGAAAAAAAATTGCTGAAATTTGTATTTGGTGTACAGAATGGTTTACATAAATCGGTTTGTAAAATTATCGATATATATATATATATATATATTAAAATATAATAATTTAGGTTGCGTTTGTTGAAATCAGACTAAAATCCGAAACAAATTATATTCGAAGATGATTTCATGACTAGGAATATGGGCAATATATGGCAACACATCATTTTTTTAGTAGTTGTATATATTATACGAGTTTGATGTATCATTTACAATAAAATCTTACGAAAATATATTTGGTACCCTATATAAATTTGTATCTCAATCAGACAAATATTAGCACTGCGGTGGACTATTTTAAACTACGGCGAAACTATATATGGGATCTATATCTAAATCTGAACTGATTTCAAAAATTTTCAATATATTACATCATTGGGTCATAATAATGAGCTATATACTATTTCATCCGGTTCTCTATTTACCGTATTTTCAATATGTTAGCTCAATTTTGCTACTTTGTTTTATATTAAAATTTAAAATTTGCATTTCTGTAATTTTTGGATCATAGGATAATGTAAATAAATGTTGTCAGCCACTTCAGACCTACATTCCCTCTTCATTATTTCACTCATATTAAAACAATCACAAATTTGTTTTATTTTCATTATTTATTTGACTTAGAGACAAACGGCAGACTGTACAAAAGTTATAAATCTAAATCACATGGGATTGAAAATAAAGGATGAAGGTATAGTAGAAAGATACAAACAAATTAGATGAAGAAATATGTGAAAATCTGATAGATAGAGACTTCTAATTTCACAATTTTTAAACATGTTTCCAAAAATAAACTAAATAAGGTGAAGGTTGTCCATTAATGCGGTTGAGAAAATCTCTAAGATCTCCCACTCAATGTTGATCACAACTTTAGTTTCATAATAGTAGGTATCCTAATTTTTCCATAGAAGAAATTTAAACGGTTCCTGGTGCAGGCTGTAGGTTAACGGAGGCAACAGATTGAGCATGACCGGCCAATGGAGCAACATGTACGGCACCACGAGTCTTGGCAACAAATGTACCACTATGAGCTGGAACAACAGCAGGAGCAGGGACAACAGCAGGAAGAGGGCCGGAAACAACTTGTACTGGTCCAGGACCGACAACAACCTGA